CAGACAGAGAGTTCACCAAAGGATTTAGGATCTTGGACAGCTCCATTGACCATTTTGTTTTGCAGAGAAAACAAAGGGCCCAAAACAGATGCTACAGGAACAGAAGCTGGAACAAGGACGAGGTCGGGCATCCTCACCCCAGTCTGCCAGTCTTTACAAATGGGAGGGAAGCATTATAAACATGTAACGCCAGGTCTTTATAAATGGCAGCAAGCATAGGGAAGGGGAGGGAAACATCTTTCTTTTATTCCAGATCAACCTCAAGGAAGAGGAAAAATCCGGAATGTGTCAAAAGGGAGGAGGGGGAGAGCACAAAGGAGAAAATGACCAAAAAAAACCTGGCTTTATAAGCAGCTCTTTATCCCCACCCCTGCAACAGAAATACAGGAGAAATAAAAATACCCGGGGAAAGGAGAACAGAAAGCTGGCGTGGCCAAAAAAGTCCCCACGGAGACATAAAGTCAATGAGGACGAGCTGGCGCCTGCAGCCAACAACTTCCTTCTCCCCACAGCTGTTCCTGGAAGAGCTGGCAGGATTTCTGCATGTCCCCACAGACCCTCCCTGACCTTGCGCCCAGGTGGTTCCTTCCTCCCTGACGCCACCATGGACACCGCCTTCGAGCCAGGGTGCAGGGCTGGAGTGGGGAGGAGCAGCCCATGCCCAGGGGCAAACACCCACCCGCGCCCCACACCTCCCCCAAGCACGCGCGCGCGGGGCGTGGTGGGGCGTCAAGCCCGGGCTGGCACGTGGCGTGGCAGGACGGGCGAGGGGAGGGGGCGGAAACAGAACGCGCAGAGCCCCGCCCCCACCGCACTCACCTCCGGAGTCACTGACCTAGAGCCCGACTTCCGCCAACAAAAGTCCTTTCCGGCCACGTGACCAGCGCCCGCCAATCACGGCACTCACTCTTTCACCCCCGCACCACCCTCCCTTTGCGACCAATCACAGGCTCCTTCTTAAGACTCCGAGCCTCCTTCCGGCCCCGCCTTCTCCTAGAGTGTTGCAATTCCGGAGAGCTCTGCTGGTACGAGGCGGAAGTTGAGGCTGGATAGTAGGGCGGTAGCCATCTTTGTGAGGGGAGGATGGCTTCCTCTCCCCCCTCTCCTTAAAGGGACAGTCACGTGAAAACTTTCCCCGGCCCCAGTCTCAGCCCCTGCTTTGTGCCTTGCAGCAGCCAAGGGGACCCAGACTGGGCCTGAGCAACTTGTGTGGGTGCAGGGAGTTAAGGCCACTAGGGCCTCTCCTGTAGCCTCCTGTGGGTCCCAGGCCAAGTAATCGTGGTTACCCCTGGCAGAGGCCAAGGCCTGGGGCAGTGACCCTGAACAGGGGCCCACAGTGCCCTGGAGCCCCCCCTGCAACATCCTTTCACAGATGCTCCTGGCTTCTTCCCATCCGGTGCAGGTGTAAGGAGATCAGTGGTGTAATAAATAAGGTGGGTGTTGCAATGGAGCACTGCCTAATTCAGAGAAAGTGCTGGCAGGGCCTGGGGTCTAAAAGAGCTGAGAACCGTTGGCTGAGAGCAGTGATTTGCAGCTGGGGAGCCCTGGGACATTAGCACTGCTAGGTGGGTGAGCCCGGTTCACAAGGTCCACCCAGACATCTCCGACAGGAGCCGGCGTGTCCAGAACACTGTCCTCGCTGTGGTCTTCCTGAGTTCAGGGAATCCTAGAAAATGAGGGTTGGAAGGGACCTCGGGGGTGTCTAGTCCAACCCCTTGCTCCAAGCAGGACCAGCCCCAACTAGATCATCCCAGCCAAGGCTTTGTAGCTGGGTCTTAACAACCTCCAAGGATGGAGCTTCCACTACCTCTCTGGGTAACCTGTTCCAGTGTTTTACTGCCCTCCTCATGAATAAGCTCTTCCTACTATCTAACCTGAACTTCCCTTGCTGCATCTTGAGACTGTTGCTGCTTGTTCTGTCATCTGCCACCACTGAGAATAGTCCAGCTCCATCCTCTTTAAACCCCACCTCAGGTAGTTGAAGGCTGCTATTCAATCCCCTCTCCGTCTTCTCTTCTCCAGACTAAATAAGCCCAGTTCCCTCAACCTCTCCTCATAAGACACGTGCCCCAGGCCCCGAACCATTTTCGTTGCTCTCCACTGGACTCTTTCCAATTTGTCCACATCCTTTCTGTAGTGGGGGGCCCAAAACTGGACACACTACTCCAGATGTGGCTTCACCAGTGCTGAATAGAGGGGAATAATTACTTCCTTCAATCGGCTGGCAACACTCCTACCAATGCAGCCCAGTATGCCATTAGCCTTCTTGGCAACAAGGGCACAATGTTGGCTCATATTCAGCTTATTGCCCACTGTAACCCCCAGGTCCTTTTCTGCAGTTCTTTGCGACAAAATCATTCCTCTAGTACTTTTCTGTAGTCAAAAAAAAAAAAGAGAGTGAAAACCAAGAGTTGGTACTTTTCTGTAGTCAAAAAAAAAAAAGAGAGGGAAAACCAAGAGTTGCCATTTTTCAAGGGAGCCTTGAGTTTATCAATGGGTGCTTTAAATCTAAAAATGTTGAGAACCACTGGCCTAGAGCACATCCTCCACAGGCCTGGCATTTCTGATGTGAAGGCCCTGACAGATGGGGAGCGATCATCACCACACAGCAACGTGGTGTCCCAAGCAAAGCTTGATGAGCATATGGCAGGGATCCAAGAAAGGCAGAATGTCTGTAGCAGGAATTCTCCCTTCCCTGCTCCCCAAGACTGATCCATGTAGGAGCCCAAAGGAAGCTTGGGTAGTGCATTATCTTGAGGCACAGATACCCCTACTTTGCAGAAAGGCAGCCCTGGAGAGGCCTGGTAAAAGCAAAACAAATTATTCCTCTGCTCTTCAGCAATGGCCTGCCTTTAGAATTGCTAATGGCGTGGCTTTGAACCATTACTGGAGGAGAATTTCCAAAAGATGCAAAGAGCCAAAGCGGGATGTTCCAAGGGCTGAAACCAGCCAGAAATACAATGTCTTCTTTTCTGCACTTCCATTTAGAGTTGCAACATAGATGTCCTCCCAGCAAAACAATCACAAGACTTCAAATCAATGCACGCCTTCGCTGTCCTCTAAACTGGGGTTTTTTACAATGGCATCAAGGAGGAAAAATGCTCAATAAAATTCAGAAAGGGTCATAGGACCTTCTAATCTCACTGTCCCATGACTGACACCCCCTAGAGAGCCCATTAAGAGAATGTCCTCTGGCTGAGGCAGATAGGAACTGCTTTCCATAGACCATCGGCGGGGGGCAACCTTTTTGGCAGGTGTACCACAAATAAATACCTATGGTCCCTTGAGTGGCTTCCATTCCCCTTCCCCTGCCTGATCTGCTGCTCTGTTTTCTGCTCCCTACCCCTTCTGCCACTGTGCTGCCTCCCCCACCCCGATCTGCCACATGCCACACGTAGCTGCCTGTGCCACAGCTTGGCCACTTCTATAGATTTTGGGGCACAACGCAAGATTTGTTGGGTAAGGTCGTTTGTCAAACCAACTCTATAACTCAGGGAAATGCTAAACAAACTCTCAGGTGTAAGATGCCCCTCCCTCCAGTCACGATGCATGTTCCCTGGCCCATCACTGCTACATCACCAGAACAATTCCACTACAGTCTAGGGCATGTCATCTGCCCATAGCTGCACACTAGACCCATACACCCACTCACTTGTTTTGCCACGGCTTATGACTAACCTGCATTAAAAATACTTTCTTTAAAACAGAAGCAGTTCCCCTTCTCCCCCCGGGCGCTAAGCCACAGCAGCTATTTAAAAAAACTGTTCCACAATCACCAGAGGCTTTGGCAATCCTCAGATGCAAGAGGCTACAAGAACCCTCTCCGGGGCCACAACCCACGGATCTCAAAGCACTTCACAGCTGTTCATTCAGGCAGCTTTACAGCAAGAAGCAGCATTGGTGCCATTATTGAGTAGCCAAGGCTGGGGGTGGATAGGTAACCACACAGCAAGGACCAAGCCAGAAGCAGACCCTTGTCCCCTGGCCTGTCCACCTGTCCGTTCCCCTCCCCCCCCCCTTCCTATACTTGCTTCTAGACTAAAACTAAGAACAAAAGACCCCCCCTCCACTAAGGATACAAAGCAGGATTCAGTCTAGAGGTGCCAGGACCTCCTAATGATCTCAGGATCAGCACATGAGGGTTGGAAGGGATCTCAGGAGGTCATCTAGCCCACTGGTTCTCAACCCTTTTTGTACCAGGACCCATTTGTAAGCACTGATGGCCAGGTCCGACCCAGTCAATAGTTTAAATAGAAAACAGCCCCCTGGCCCTCCTGGTGCCCCTCACTCCCCACCCTGACTCCTGGGGGCATGTGGGGGGAAGGGGGCCCCAAGCAGCCTCTGGCAGGCTGCAAGGGAAAAGCCATGGTTTCCCTTGCTAAGGAGAAAAAGGTTTTAAAGTTGGTTGATGCATTTTTTTTAAGTCTGTTTGCCCCCCTTTCATATATTTTTGCCACCCCCGGGGTTGAGAAACGCTGATCTAGCCCCCCTGCTCAAAGCAGGACCATCCCCAACCGGGTCACCCCAGCCAGGGCTTTGTCTAGCCGGGTCTTAAAAACCTCCCAAGCCACAACCTCCCGGTGCTGCACTGCCCTGGGTCCTCCCTACCAGCCAACCTACGCTTCCCTGCGCGCAGCTCCAGCCCCTTGCACCTGCCCGGTGCCGAGCCGGCCACACGTGCCGGGGGAACGGCGCACCTGGCCCTTTAAGATGTATGCCCAGCCCTAAGATGGCAGCTTTTCCCCTCCTCCCCCCAGCCTGTGCCCTTGGCCGCGATGGGGAGGGGAAAGTATGATGTCACCGCATGACTGTGTTTTTATGAATGAAAAGAATCCTGCGAGTGAGTAATTCCAGGAAACTCGCCTTACAACTCGGCGGCGCAGGCAGCGCCCGGC